GAAGGGGTGGGGGGGAGAAACTAAAAATGACGGAAAGAAGGAAAAAATACTATTTATGATCGCAGGAAAGATCATTCCCTCATTTTCCTGCTACATTACTATTATTCTGATTAATATCTAGGCAAGGATATAAAAACTTGATTATTTACCCAAAATTAATCTTAATCTTAGAGGGAAAACTAAGTTTGATGTTAAAGACTTAAAATAACATTTAACTTTGTTTAGCGAGACCCATAAAACTTCAGGATGGGATGACAACATTTTATGCTGTTACTAAGAAAATACTCTCCCCAGTAGCTTTAAAATGTGTTCATATGCATTGGCCTATTCAAATTCATGACTTGAAAATAACAGTAGGTAACCTATTCCACACTTGCATGGGACTCACTGTATGATATGCACTTTATATGAAATTTTAGAACTTCCGTTGCACGGATGAAATTTTGAAGTTCAGGGTTAGGTATGATTATCTAAGATACTGAATTTCGAAATAATTATTTAAAAAGTAAGGTTTGATGAACCAAAAATTCTTTCTCAGCTGTCACAGAATTATTGACTTGCATTTATGAAATATTACTAAAATCTATTTACTAAACCTAGCAAATGTGACAAATTTCATGCTCGTTTTGTTTACTGATCGGGGTGTATATTTTCTTGAAAACATGTTTCTCCCCAACCATTTGGAAATGAGGACTAAATGTTTGATTCAAGGGGAAATAAGTGAATTTTAGAGAAGTAAGAAATAGAAGAAAAAACTTGCAATTAGATATCAAATTTTTCACACACACCCCCCCCCCCCCAGTTCATCAAAAATATTTTTTCGTCAAGAGGGGAGGAAATTTTAAAATTATTGACCCCCGAAAAAATTAAGAAGTATATATTTGAATAAATTGATAACAAAAATCACCAGTTGTTAAATGATTTAAACCATAAGAAGAACAGACAGCATCAAGAGAGCAGAAGTGGACACTAGATCAAACTACCTTGCCCGGGTACATATTCTTTTTGAAAAATCATTTCCCTTCTTTTCCACAATTTCTTTTTCTATTAGAACCCTTTTCTCAATGAATTTTTAATACTGAGAAAATGAATGACTTATCGGAAAAATTTCATCATTCTATGGGGAAAACTTTGGGTTAATTAATCCTAATATATACCTCCTCACCTGTTCAACAGTGTTATCCTAAAATATGTATAACGACTTTTAAACTTACTTTCTACTTTGTTTGAAAGAACTAAATCCCAATTCAGTGTTGTCATTTCAAGCACTTTTCTAGCATCCGCCATTTTTGGTCTCCTTGGGGGGATTGACTCGAAATCTTTGGCAAACTTCAATCTATAAGAAAAGAGTTAAACTGTGGTTTCATATAAAGTTGTATTGAACATTTAAAACCAGGAAATTCGTTCAAGAGTTATTCTTTAGAAATAAATAATAATACAAAGTACCTAGTAAATTTTTTTTTCTTTTCACTCTTCAGACATTTAAGAACTTGGTGCCAAGCCAGTTTTTGAGGATACCCATAAGTTCATAACATACGCTTTGAAATTTTTCAGTTGCACTTAAACTGGAGAATTTAAAATATATTTTTATTATAATCACACCAGTTTCACAAATTGTAAAAACTTATCTTCTAAAAATATGTCTTAGAATTTGTTGAAGAATACTTTTTGCTTATTCAACAATATTTCAGAAAATGCTTCACCCATAATATAGAACTATTTTCTTCAAGGTTTATGAAATTAACAGTAAAACTTGATAAAAATCTTTACCCATTCTCCCAATCTAATCAAAAATATTTGCTAATGTTCTAAAACTAATATATTAACTTTATGTTTAGGGGAAAAATACCTTACCTTAGCAACTCTTTATACTCATTTTTTAATCTTCTTGTCAAGTGGTCAAATGGGGATAGATTAAGTTCCCCAGCAAGGATTGAATTGATTTTTTTACTGTCTGGGGTGACCAAAATTCTCTTCTTGCCCAACTTCTTCGCTTTGCGTGCCTAAACAAGTACACTTATGACTAAAATGATAAGATTTCATTTCCATTCCCCTCTTCCTGATCTCCAGATAAGATAAATTTTCTTCACAATTCTTACACTTGAGAGATCGGCCAGAAAATTTGCTTAAGGAAAAATTAATTTAGTTTCTTAATATCCAAAAAAAGAATTTTTCCCAATTCATCAAATGATGGGTGCCGATCAATTCAAGACATTTTCTCCACTGAAATAAAATTGTTTTCCAATAAGTCCAAACAGTTTTCCAATGTTAAAATAGGCTGCGTGAGTGTTTAAGCCCCTTAACTTGGGAAAGAAATCTTCACTAGAATATTTCTGCCTTTCATGTCTGCTTGCTTTACTTAACTTTAATTTTCTCTTTGTTTATTNCCAGCCATTCATCAAACAACCTACAGATATACAACAAACCAGCCATTTTCTTACCTTAACAGGCTCAGGTTCATATTCAGAACTTCCAGAATCCTAGATAAAAGAATATTTAAAATCTACATATTTATCATCTACTTTAACAATTTACTTACTATTTTCTATTTTACAAAATAATTTTTCAGTGTGCTAAAAACCTGGTGTTACATTTTAATTATTAGTGAATCATTTTGAAAAAATATGGTTTGATTTGGCGGATGATTCAAAGATAAAATTTAGAATTATTTTTTAAATTTTGAAATAATAAACTAAATTTTTTTCGAGTTGAAATTAATGTAGAGCCATTGTGTGAACGTTTAAGAAAAATAACTTATAAATGGATTGTGCTAAAAATTAAGCTCCTAAGCTCCTTAATTAATCTTGTTGTATCGAGAGCACGAGTTTCAAATCAAAAATGTGTAATAAAAATATAGGGTTCAAATATTGGGGTACTTGTTCCATTTAGGAAACATCTTGATGTATCTCCCGGTCTTGATCAAAGTAAATTAAAAGATTAAAAAAAGAAAGGATAAAAGAATATTCATATTCAGATAACCAACCAACAATTGATGCAACCAACCAGCTCTATAGCCAACCCGACATTCAACCAACCAGCTATACAAACATTTAGCCATTCAACCAACCAGCCATTTTCTTACCTCAACAGGCTCAGGTTGATAATCAGGACTTCCAGAAGGACTTCCAGAATCCTAGATAGAAGAATATTAATATTCTGATAATCAACCAGCTATACAGCCAACCTACTATTCAACCAACCAGCTTTACAACCATCCAGCCATTCAAGCAACCAGCTATCTAACAAACCAGCTGTTCAACCATCAAGCCATGCAACCAACAGCTGTTAAACCAACCAGCTGTGTAACCAATCAGAACATCTATTTATCAAACCAACGAACGTCGAACCCACCAACCTGAATCAATCAATCTAACCATCTTATTCGCCAACCAGCAAAGTTGTCAACCAATTTATCAAGAGAACAGAACCCCAAAAAAATACAAATCATCCACCGTAAAAGTGATGAAACCAATCATCATTTAACCATCGTTGTTCTACACTTTTGAAGACTAGGATTTACACATTTTGTATACCTGAACTATGTGGAACTCCGCAGGTTTGGAAGGATCATTATCCCTTAGCTCAGCTTCAGGATTAGAACTTCCAGAATCCTAGATAAAAGAATATTAATATTCACACAACCAACCAGCAATTGATGTAACCAACCAACTATACAGCCAACCAGATATACAACCAACCAGCCATTCAACCAACCAGCTTTACAACCAACCAGCCATTCAACCAACCAGCTTTACAACCATCCAGCCATTCAACCGACCAGCCATTCAAGCAACCAGATATACAACCAACCAGCTATCTAACAAAACAGCTGTTCAACTATCAAGCCATGCAACCAACAGCTGTTAAACCAACCAGCTGTGTAACAAACTAGCTCTGTAACCAACCAGCTGTATAACCAACCAGAACATCTATTTAACAAAACAACAAACCAAGCAGCCTGAATCAATTCAACCATCTTATTCACCAACCAGCAAAGTTGTCAACCAATTCTTCAAGAGAAATAACAGAACCCCAAAAAAATACAAATCATCCACCATAAAAGTGCCAAAACCAATCATCATTTAACCATTGTTGTTAGGTAGGTCAACAAATTAAAGTGGATTTAAGAAAGAGAAACTGCATATAAAAATTTGTAAAATTTTAAGCTTTTGAAGTTTTAACATAACGATCTATTTTACGCAGAAATAAAGGAATATGAAACAAAAAAAATGAAATTACTAAACTATTCACTTTATTACACTATTTCTTTGGACACAATACTGTAGATCTGTACAGTACTGTAACGGAAAGCAATCTTGACCCTTTTCCAGTTCTGCCATTTTTAATAAATATTGATTGGGAGGTGGAGGGGGGTAAGTCATCTTTATGACTTTGCCTGTATTTACTTTTTGACTTCATTTTTTCTGAATTGACTCCAGAACTTAAATGGTTTGGATGGTAGGTATAATATGTATGTGGATGATATGTGGGTGATATCTGGATAATATGTATGTGGATGCTGTGGGTGATATTTGGAAGATATGTGGATGATATGTGGGTGATATCTGGATGAATGTGGGTGATATCTGGATGAATGTGGGTGATATCTGGATGATATTCAGATATCACCCACTTTTCATCCAGATATTACCCACATATCATCCAGATATCACCCACATATCATCCAGATATCACCCACATATCATCCAGATATTAACCACTTTTCATCCAGATATCACCCACTTTTCATCCAGATATCACCCACTTTTCATCCAGATATCACCCACTTTTCATCCAGATATCACCCACTTTTCATCCAGATATCACCCACATATCATCCAGATATCACCAACATATCATCCAGATATCACCCACTTTTCATCCAGATATCACCCACTTTTCATCCAGATATCACCCACATATCATCCAGAAATCATCCAGATATCATCCAGAAATCATCATCCAGATATCATCTTGGTGAAAAGTCGAGTTTTAATCCTTGTATGGCACAACTATAGCCGATTAAAACTCCACTTTTAAACTCGATTAAAACTCCACTTTTAAACTCGATTAAAACTCCACTTTTAAACTCGATTAAAACTCCACTTTTAAACTCGATTAAAACTCCACTTTTCATAATCCAGATATCAACCAGAAATCATCTTGGTTAAAAGTCGAGTTTTAATCCTTGTATGGCACGACTATAGCCGATTAAAACTCCACTTTTAAACTCGATTAAAACTCCACTTTTAAACTCAATTAAAACTCCACTTTTAAACTCGATTAAAACTCCACTTCTAAAGTCGATTAAAACTCCACTTTTACACTCGATTAAAACTCCACTATTAAACTCGATTAAAACTCCACTTTTAAACTTGATTAAAACTCCACTTTTCATTATCCAGATATCATCCAGATATCATCCAGAAATCATCCAGAAATCATCTTGGTGAAAAGTCGAGTTTTCATCCTTGTATGGCACGACTATAGCCGATTAAAACTCCACTTCTAAACTCGATTAAAACTCCACTTCTGGAAGGCAAAAGTCGAGTTTTACTCGATTTTAACTCGAGTTTTTGTTTGCTGGGAGGAAGGGTTGGAGATACACCAATATTGTTATCAGGGTTATATGAAGAGACAGGAAGGGTTGGAGATAAACCAATATTGTTATTAGGGTTGTATGAAGAGCTAGGCCAGGTTGGAGATAAACCAATATTATTATCAGGGTTGTATGAAAAGACAGGAAGGGTTGGAGATAAACCATGCAATATTGTTATCAGGGTTTTATAAAGAGCTGATAGGGTTGGATATAATCCAGTATTGTTATCAGGGTTGTATAAAGAGCAAGGATGGGTTGGAGATAAACCAATATTTTTATCAGGGTTTAATGAAGAGCTAGGAAGGGTTGGAGATAAACCAATATTGTTATCTGGGTTATATGAAGAGACAGGAAGGGTTGGAGATAAACCATTATTGTTATCAGGGTTGTATGAAGAGACAGGAAGGGTTGCAGATAAACCAATATTGTTATCAGGGTTGTATGAAGAGACAGGAAGGGTTGCAGATAAACCAATATTGTTATCAGGGTTGTATGAAGAGACAGGAAGGGTTGCAGATAAACCAATATTGTTATCAGGGTTTAATGAAGAGACAGGACGGGTTTCAGATAAAACAATATTGTTATCAGGGTTGTATGAAAAGCAAGGATGGGTTTCAGATAAACCAATATTGTTATCAGGGTTGTATGAAGAGACAGGAAGGGTTGCAGATAAACCAATATTGTTATCAGGGTTTAATGAAGAGACAGGACGGGTTTCAGATAAAACAATATTGTTATCAGGGTTGTATGAAAAGCAAGGATGGGTTTCAGATAAACCAATATTGTTATCAGGGTTGTATGAAGAGACAGGAAGGGTTGCAGATAAACCAATATTGTTATCAGGGTTTAATGAAGAGACAGGACGGGTTTCAGATAAAACAATATTGTTATCAGGGTTGTATGAAAAGCAAGGAAGGGTTTCAGATAAACCAATATTGTTATCAGGGTTTAATGAAGAGACAGGACGGGTTGCAGATGAACCAATATTTTTATCAGAGTTTAATAAAGAGACAGGACGGGTTTCAGAACAATATTGTTATCAGGGTTGTATGAAAAGCAAGGACGGGTTTCAGATAAACCAATATTGTTATCAGGGTTTAATAAAGAGACAGGACGGGTTTCAGATAAAACAATATTGTTATCAGGTTTGTATGAAAAGCAAGGATTGGTTTCAGATAAACCAATATTGTTATCAGGGTTGTATGAAGAGACAGGAAGGGTTGGAGATAAACCATGCAATATTGTTATCAGGGTTGTATGAAGAGACAGGACAGGTTGCAGATAAACAAATATTGTTATCAGGGTTGAATGAAGAGACAGGAAGGGTTGGAGGTAAACAAATATTGTTGTCAGGGTTGTATGAAAAGCAAGGATGGGTTTTAGATAAACCAATATTGTTATCAGGGTTGTATGAAGAGACAGGAAGGGTTGGAGATAAACCATGCAATATTGTAATCAGGGTTGAATGAAGAGACAGGAAGGGTTGGAGATAAACCAATATTGTTATCAGGGTTATATGAAGAGACAGAAAGGGTTGGAGATAAACCAATCTTGTTATCAGGGTTGTATGAAGAGCTAGGACGGGTTGCAGATAAACCAATATTATTATCAGGGTTGTGTGAAAAGACAGGAAGGGTTGGAGATAATTCATGCAATAATGTTATCATGGTTTTATGAAGAGCTAGGAAGGGTTGGAGATAAACCAATATTGTTATCAGGTTTCTATGAAGAGACAGAACTGGTTGCACATAAACCAATATTTTTATCAAGGTTGTATGAAAAGACAGGAAGGATTGCAGATAAACCAATATTGTTATCAGGGTTTAATGAAGAGACAGGACGGGTTTCAGATAAAACAATATTGTTATGAGGTTTGTATCAGGAGACAGGACGGGTTGGAGATAAACCAATATTGTTATCAGGGTTGTATGAAGAGACAGGAAGGGTTGGAGATAAACCATGCAATATTGTTATCAGGGTTGAATGAAGAGACAGGAAGGGTTGGAGATAAACCAATATTACTATCAGGGTTGTATGAAGAGACAGGAAGGGTTGGAGATAAACCATGCAATATTGTTATCAAGGTTGAATGAAGAGACAGGAAGGGTTGGAGATAAACCAGTATTGTTATCAGGGTTGTATGAAGAGACAGGATGGGTTGGAGATAAACCAATATTATTATCAGGTTTGTATGAAGAGACAGGACGAGTTGCAGATAAACAAATAGTGTTATCAGGGTTGTATGAAGAGACAGGACGGGTTGCAGATAAACAAATATTGTTATCAGGGTTGTATGAAGAGACATGAAGGGTTGGAGATAAACCAATATTGTTATCAGGGTTATATGAAGAGACAGGAAGGGTTGGAAATAAATCAATATTGTTATCAGGGTTGTTTGAAGAGCTAGGAGGGGTTGCAGATAAACCAATATTATTATCAGGGTTGTGTGAAAAGACAGGAAGGGTTGGAGATAAACAAATATAATTATCAGGGTTGTATGAAGAGACAGGAAGGGTTGGAGATAAACCAATATTGTTATCAGGGTTGTATGAAGAGACAGGGAGGGTTGCAGATAAACCAATATTGTTATCAGGGTTTAATGAAGAGACAGGACGGGTTTCATATAAAACCAACATTTTTATCAGGGTTGTATGAAAAGCAAGGATGGGTTGCGGATAAGAAAGCAGAAATGCGTTTAAGATCGGGAAAGTTGTTAAAGATGCAGGGTTTAATTGATATTCCTTAACCAAGATCGGATAAGAACATATGATTAAAAACATGCATTTTGTTAAATCGGTTAAGATTAAATTTAAGGCGTATGAAGGTCGGATAAGAAAGCAGAAATGCGTTTGAGATCGGGAAAGTCGTTAAAGATGCAGGATTTAATTTATATTCCTTAACCGAGATCGGATAAGAACATATGATTAAAAACATGCATTTTGTTAAATTGGTTAAGATTACAGAAAATAGAAACTTATCCAATTATAACTTTAAAAAATCTGCTAGGGAAGGTTTTAGGGTTCCAGGAACTTCCAGGCAGGAGTATATACAGATGGGGCTATATGGATTTGCCCCCCACCCCCCTTTAAAAGTTAAACCAAAATGTTCCAGGGGGATTTAGACCCAAAAGGTTCCAGGGAAGATTTAACCAGGCTGGCATTTTTGTAGGGGGGGGGGGGTCTATGGGTTAAGCCCACCCCCCACCACCTGTACAAGTGAAAACTACATTTCAAAGGGGGAATTACCCCAAACGAGATAACTCTATCCCCCCCCCCCTATCCTGTAATGTCGAAAAAGTTAGGACCCTTGACACATGCCCCCGGAGTCAGCCCCGAATATCCAGTTTACCCAGCTATCCAAATTGCGTAAGCAACGTAAACACATAATATTTTGGCTCCAATTACGCAATTAAAACGCAAATTTGCTTAAGTCTAGATTTCAAATTAGTGTAAATATCTAATTTTTCTAAAGTAAATATTTTATAACCCAGCTTTAAGTAAAAATATCAGGAATTTGTGGAGATGTGTATCATTTTATTTTAGGTATACAGATTGCGTATAAATACGCTCAATTTGCGTAATTGCCTAAAACTCTAAATCTAAATTATTTGTGAAATATCTTAACTTTCAAATACGGCACATATTGCATTTTCCAAATAAATTGAAAAAATAAACTTTTTAAAAGAATTAAAATTGTCTTTCTTAGCATTAAAATTGCGTAAAAATTGCACTCTTTTTATGCATATGTTTTGAGTGTTTTAAATATTGAAGAATTGAGTGGCCTAGGTGTGTGTGCACTGTGCAGAGTACAGCAATATATAATTTTATATTAAATAGAAAGCCGTGTGATTTGTAGATAAGAGTGGGAAGGGGGGGGGGTTATTGGGCAGAGAATTTAAAGCACTACAAAGCACACTGGTTTTTAGTACCAAATTTTACCGCTAGGTGTCTCTGTTTGTTTTACGTAAAATTTAAAAAAGTAAAAAGGTACAGATTAAATTTTTTACTAAAAGTATATCATTTAGAAGTCAAGATTTAGGTTTTAAATTATTTTCATTTTTAAAAAAAACAAAAACATTTTTATTAGGAAAATGCTTTGAATTTACTATCAGAAAAATTGATATAACTTTTATAACTCCATACTAATTATAAAGCTAGAAGCAGTAATTAATCTCTATGTGAAACTGTATTCCCTGATGAATAAAATCAGTTTAGAGTGAGATACATACTGCATCCAACTGCAGAGATGGATGGCATATTTGTATGCATGGTATGCATCAAATTTGCTGAGATTTAGCATAATTTAACGTAATAGAGAGCCGACATGTTTATTGAGAAAATAATAATGCGCATTTTCGACGTAAATTTGTATAATATTATTACGTAAATATTACGCATACTAAAACCAATAAATTTGCGTAGCTAAGTGTGCAATTGTACGTCTTTCATGACGTAAAAAGAACCAAAATCTATATGTAAAATTTACGTAAAAATGCGAAAATTGACATATAAATTGCGCTCTTTTTGCGCAATTTGGCTATCTTGGTAGCATTCACCCCCCCCCCCTTAAATGTCTTATACATTTATAAATTATAGTGCCCCTGCAGTTTGTCATACTTTTTCGTTAATATTTTTGAAATTCTCACTTTAGAACTTTCTATAATACAAGATTGAAAAGTAATGGACGGAAAGGGATAAAAAGAATTCAATGTTAAGATGGAGGATATAAAAAGAGGTTAGGACGAATGGAACAAAATAAAGAGAATTCAAGGTGGGGACGGATATAAATATAAGATAGAGAGAGTCAAGATTGGGACGAATGGAACAAAATAAAAAGAATTCAAGATGGGGACGGATATAAATATAAGATAGAGAGAGTCAAGATTGGGACGAATGGAAAGAAATAAAGATAATTCAAGGTTGGGCAGATATAAGTAATAAATTGGAGAGAATTAAGGTTGGGACGAATTAAAATAAAAATGAGAATGGGTATTATCAGATAGAGAGAATCATTTTTGAGACAGACATGAAAAGAGAAGAGAAATCAAGGTTGGGATCACATAGGTCTAGAGAACTATGAAACTTATTCATACTTGTTGTAGTCCTGACACAACTATTTTTTTATATAAAATGCACTTGTTTTTAAATTAAGTTTGGAAAAAGTAATTTGCAAAAATTAACATAGATTTTTGAGGAAAAATCAAGACTGGGACGGATATAATAAGATGAAGAGAAATTGTAAAGATTGTAACAATTAATAAAATCAAAGTTTATAACAGGGCTTACAAATTCTCAAATTCATTCTGTGGAATATCTCTCAAATGAAATGTTTAATCGATTTGACTCAACTTATGTTTGTATTTCTCATATCTTGCCCGATTTTGTAAAAGAAAATTCCTTAATAGATTTTGTTTCTAATGTCTTATCCGATCTTAAAGACAATGTATGAATCAAAGTGGGTCTTATCCGAGTATAGGCTCACCGCCGTAATATGTCTTTATTAAATAAATATTCAAGGTTGGGGGTGGGGTCTCTCTAAAAAACAGACGGTAGTTGGGGTAGTAAGGGTAGTTGCCATCAGTTTCAACTCCAAGGGTGGTGGTGAGATCTCTCTAAAAAATAGACGGTAGTTGGGGTAGTAAGGGTAGTTGCCATTCAGATTCAACTTCAAGGGTGGGAGTGGGGTCTCTCTAACACACAGGCGGTAGTTGGGGTAGTAAGGGTAGTTGCCATTCAGATTCACCTTCAAGGGTGCGGGTGGGGTCTTTCTAAAAACAGACAGTAGTTAGGGTAGTAAGGGTAGTTGCCATTCAGATTCACCTGCAAGGGTGGGGGTGGGGTCTCTCATTCTTATCCGATCTCGGTTAAGGAATATAAATTAAATCCTGCATCTTTAACGACTTTCCCGATCTCAAACGCATTTCTGCTTTCTTATCCGACCTATCATCAGCCTTAACCTTAATCTTAACCGATTTAACAAAATGCATGTTTTTAATCATATGTTTTATACAACCTTGGTTAAGGAATATCAATTAAACCCTGCATCTTTAACAACTTTCCTGATCTTAAACGCATTTCTGCTTTCTTATCCGCAACCCATCCTTGCTTTTCATACAACCCTGATAACAATATTGGTTTATATGAAACCCATCCTGTCTCTACATACAACCCTGATAATAATATTGGTTTATCTGCAACCTGTCCTAGCTCTTCATACAACCCGGTAGTTGGGGTAGTAAGGGTAGTTGCCATCAGATTCAACTCCAAGAGTGCGGGTTGGGTCTTTCTAAAAACAGACGGTAGTTGGGGTAGTGAGTGTAGTTGCCATTAAGATTTACCTTCAAGGGTGGGGGTGGGGTCACTTTAAAAACACACGGTAGTTGGTGGAATGGGTGTAGTTAAACCAAACTACCCCAACTACAGTCAGATTCTACTTCCAGGGTGGGGGTGGGGTCTCTCTGAAATACAGTGGTCCGCAGAAAAAAGTGGAACACGAAGACGACATTTGTAAATAAAAATACAGTGGTCCGCAGAATTGTGGAAAGCAAAGACGACATTTTTAAAAATACAGTGGTCCGCCCAAAAAGTGGGAAACGAAGACGACATTTTTTAAAAATACAGTGGTCCTTACAAAAAAAAAGGGAAAACGAAGACAACATTAGTAAAAATGCAGTGGTCCAAAAAAAAAGGAAAAAACGAAGACGACATTTGTTAAAAAAATGCAATGGTCCGTTAAAAAAAGTGGAAAACGAAAAAGACATTTGTATATAAAAAAGAATACAGTGTTCCACAAAACAAAGTGGAAAACGATGACAACATTTTTGAAAATACAGCAGTCCGCAAAAAATAAGTGGGAAAGGAAGACAACATTTGTTAAACATGCAGTGGTCCAAAGAAAAAGAAAAAAACGAAGACGACATTTGTTAAAAATGCAGTGGTCCACAAAAAAAGTGATTCACGAAGACGACATTTATAAATAAATAATACAGTTGTCTTTAGTAAAAAGTGGAAAACTACCCTTACTACCCCAACTACTGTTTGTTTTTTAAGAGACCCCACCCCCACCCTTGAAGTTGAATCTAAATGGTAAGTACCCTTACTATTAATCTGATGGCAACTACCTTTACTACCCCAACTACCGTCTATTTTTTAGAGAGACCCCACCCCCACCCTTGCAGGTGAATCTGAATGGCTACTACCCTAGATAAATTAGAATAGATTGTTCATGCAGACTGTAAAGCTGAAAATTGTACAACCCCATGTACATCATGAACTTGTCATTTGAAGAGGTCATTGAATATGTTTTGCTTCTCGGGGTCAATCTGTAGAGTATTTTTTTTACTAATTTATTTAAAGAAGTTTAATAAAAACTAGGCCTCACCCATTAACTATTTTAGCCTTTAACCCTAAACAGGCTTGGCCGGCCCTATAGTTTTTTTTTGTCCTAGCACTCTCATTTTTGTCACTATTACCGTGAAATTTTATGACTTTTAATGAATAGTTAATCTAAAGGATTTTTCTGACAATTTTTTTTAATGCAAAGGGTAGGGTACAGGGCGGTAAAAAGTCCGGTCTGTGTAAAAAAAATCTAAAAGGCCCTTAACTTTTTTTGTGACTAAAGCTACAGATCTAAAAAT